TTTTTTTTTTTTTTTTTTTTTGGCAAGGCAATTGGGGTTAAGTGATCTGCCCAGGACCAGCATGGAAAAATCCAGAGAGGCTCATCACTAGAAGGCTGGTCATAGGGTAATGATTTTCTTTAGCTAGGGGAACTCACAAAAACCATGTACTATAATGTAGAGAGACTGCAGCAGGCATGTAGGGATAGGCTAAATAAGGCTAAGGTTGTAGGTATCTGAAGTAGATAACATAAAGTAGACAACATAAATTCAATGTATAAAGTAGGGAATTAATTTGATATGTGTTACCTCAAGACTCACAGCTACAAAATGTTCAGGTCTTCTGTTTCCAGCTAAGGACTGAACTTAGCTTGACCCCCAGCCAGATGCAGGAATGAGTTAAAAATAGTTATTTGTACATGCAGAATCTTGTTCCATGGTGGAATTATAATAGGACTATACAACATTAAATTAGGAAGGGGTCTTGGAGATCATCTAGTCCAATAGCCTCATTTTACAGAGGAGGAAACATTCAGAGAAGTTAAGGGGCTTGTAGGAGGTCACACAATGATTTAGTGACAGAGCCAGGCTTAGAACCCAGGCTGTGTGGCTGAGAGTAGGCCATTTTTCTATCTACCTTATCATCAAATAAACAAGAGAAGCAAGTTCTACCAAGTAGCAAGAAAGAGCAGAAGGCTCCAAGCTGCCAGAGTCTGGGTTCAGTGCCATCTTCTCACCCCACTAGGTTTCAGTATAAACAGTGTACCTATGAAGTCCATAAGCCACCAGGGAAAAATCTATTTTACTCCCATAGGGACCCACGGGATATTAATTACCTTCAGGCCCCAAACTGGCCTCTGGTTCAGTCAGTATTCACTCAGTCAGTCAAGTATTAAGCACCCACTATGTTTCAGGAACTGTTAAGCAATAGGGGTAAAAACACAGAAATGAACCAGTCCCTGTCCCTGACCTCAAGGCGCTTATATTGGGGCAGCAGCATGTATCTGTATATACAAAATAAAGACAAAGTAATGAGTGCGGGCTTAGGATAGGGCATTTAAACTGAAGCTTTGAAGGGAAGTGGGGATTCTAAGAGGCTAAAGTGAAGAGGGGGATGACCAGCGCAAAGAGACAGAGCTGAGATGGAATGTCAAGTATAAGGGATAGTAAGGAGGCCACTTGGCTGTACCAAAGAGAATATAAAGGGATATAATATATAATGAGGCTATAAAGGTAGATTGGAGTCAGGTAGTGAAAAGCTTTCAGTGCCAAACAGAGGAGTTCATATTTGATCTTAGAGACAAGAGGAGTCATCAGAGCTTATGAGCAAGGGAGTAACATGGTAAAATTTATATTTTAGGGAAATCACTTTGGCAGTTGTGTGGAGAATGGGTTGGAGAGGGAAGGGATATGAGGCAGGGAGACTAAGGAGGACTGTTCAAACAGTCCAGGCAGGAGGTGATGATAGACTGAACCGGTGTGGCAGCTGCATGGGTGGAGAGGAAGTGATGGCTGCAAGAAACACGGAGATAGAATTGACAATACTTGGCAAGTGGATGGATGTGGAATATGGGGGATGAGGGAAGAGTGAGGAGTGGAAGATGACTTCAGGGTTAGTGATGGTCTCAATAAAAATAGGGAAACTAAAGAAATTGTCCAATTAATTTGACGCTTATCAAATGCTTACTGATTAATGACACTCTCCAGACTGAGCACTAGATCTGTAACTAGAGCGGGACAAGTGGAGTGTTACACCCAAATTGCCAAATTTAGTAGTTGCTAACAGTATCTGAAATCTTTCATTAGCAAAGAAACAACCGAGCTTAAAACTTAGTTTGCATAAAATAATTAACGTAATTTACCCTTACAATGGTGACGTCAGGGCCCTGTCTTCACCCTACAAGGCAAATATTACCCTAACTATATTGCTCACTGTCTTCCTTTCCACCCCATCCCAAGAGGTCATACCCCTTGA